GAAAGGCAGAGCACACCTCTGTAGAAGTAGTGATAGTATGACATTTTTCAGACAACAGTGAAAACACATTAAAATATTTTGAGTTATAATCAATGAGGACATCCAGGTGAAACCATCAGCCGAATATGGAATTGATCAATTTAAGTGTCTGCTGAATTATTTAAGACAAACTAGCCTTCATCAGGACTCACTCTAATCTTCAATTTACTCTAGTGAAATCTTTTCCTTTGGTACGAACTCATTAAAAACACATCCATCAACGAACAAGCTGTGAAGCCACACGAGGATCGCTTGCCAAATTCTATTTGGGTTAGCTATCAGTGTATTTCACAACGCCTGAGCACTAATTATTTCTGAAACAATATTTTGTAATTCCCTCAATTTTATCTTTCAGTAAATGTAAGTGATCAAGGAAAAATCTGTTTCTTTTTTTTCACTACCAGACCATATGGGATCATCTTGCCAAATATCTCAAGTCATAAGAAAAGAAACAAAGCAGGAGCTATCACATGTATCACTGTATGAGACAGTATTCTCAGGTGTGAGACTGCTAGTACACTTGCCCACACTTGAGGTCAAATGTCTTCTAATAGCATCCTGTCAAGTATTAGCAACTTTTTAGATCAGAAGTGTTTATAAACAACATCAAAACTGCGATTTTTTTAAAACACAATTGCATTTATGGATATCAAAACACATAATAAATTTAATATGGTCCAGGACCATTTTATACCACTAAAGATTAAAGGCATATGACATAACATCATAGAATGGTTTGGGTTGGAAGTGACCTTAAAAATCATCTATTTCCAACCCTCTGCAATGGGCAGGGAACCTTTCACTAGACCAGACTGCTCAAAGCCCCAGTCAACCTGGCCTTGGACACTTCCATGGATGAGGTATCCACAAATTCTTCAGGCAACCTGTTCCTGTTGTCTCATGCTGGATGGAATTCAGTACTGGATTCAACTCCATCCATGCATCAAATCAGAACTAGTTTTTGGAATGGTTCGTGGTGCAACAACATATGTTGGCATGAATAGGCTTGAAGCCATAGCGTTGCTGTGTGGGAAGGAGAGGGAGGATAACTAGATGTGTGCTGCTGGAGAGTTGGGGAACTACAGTTTCATAACACTCTTAGCTGTAGCAGCAAGAAAACCTAGCCTATCATAACAGCACACAATTGTCCAAATAATTATACTTTCAGTATAATGACACTCATCTAAAGAAACTGCATCCCAAAATAACTTGGGGAGGGTGGGGGCTAAGATCTGGAGCCATCTGATATGGGACCAAACATTGCCATGCCCCTTTGTGACTCCAAAAATGCTCTGAGACGTCAGACCTAGAGTTGCAGGGATGCCTGCTAGACAATCAAGTTCTGAAACCTGTAACATGCTCATACCCAATTTCCCTATAAATAATATATTGAATAGTGGTATGGTAATAGTTCACCAATGAAAATCCATTAAACAGATTACTGCCCTTAAAGTATCAATCACAGTTAATAATTCTGACTAGTAGCTACTATATCAACTATATCAACTGAATAAAAATGAGATTACTAAATGATCTATTCCTTAAACATCGTTTATTTGATATGATGACAGACACTACACCAAAAATTGGAAAACATGTTCTCTAAACCAGTACTCTTTTCTCAATAGGAAAGAACTACCTGCAAAACAAATCACAATTGCTAAATGTTTTAAGTCCTAAAGCAACATAATACTTATACTGTCCTTTAGAGAAAGCACCAGATAAAAAATGTAAAAACCACCAAAATCAGCCCTCTGTCAACAGTAACCAAGATGAACATCAAGCTGAAATCCCATATGTTGGGGTAACTCTGCCACATAAAAAGAACGCAGGAGCCTGTAATATTGTTAAATTGACCACGTGTCCAAGATGGTGATTTTAAACCTTTGTGTAACCCTTCTTGTTCCCATAAACCCCTCACTGTACCTGTGGAATGTCTGAGAGATAACTAGAAACTCATCTATTAGTTGTTAACCCCTTGTCATCATTAGTTGTTTGTAAGATGTCCTGTACTCTCACTGGTCACCCTGTGATCCCTCCAAAAGGTACTTAAACCATTGTTAGATCAATAAAGCTCTCTTCTTCGCTGCTGGACTCCCTGCGTGCTGTGTGGTCTCTGTCTCCTGGCATAGGTGCCTCCGCCGCCTGTCCCTGCCACGAGGGACGGGCAGCGGGGGGTGATCTCAGCCCTGGAAACCTTCACAGAGTGGCCGGGAGTGACCCTCCAGAAACCCCCCCAAACTGCAACACCCATTCATCTCCAATGGGTCTCACATTGCAAGTGTGCTGTCATAGGACTATTCATTTCTAAACACAGAGATAATGTTTATCTTTAACAAGTTTTATAAGAGAGATCACTCAATATCAGTAATAATCAAGGAAAACTCCAAGAAGATAATATGAAGGTTAAGGAGGTTTTAAAAAAGTTTGGAGGATGTTTATTGCTCTGAGTAAAGCCAAGTACAAAACAAGAACTATGGTAAAAGAAAATGCAATTGAGTGTTTAAATTTCAACAAGCACAAGCATACTTCAACATGAATCTGAGCAACAAAATACAGCATTCAATATAACATCAACTTAAGATAATGATACCAAGCTAAGTTAAAGTGTTTTGTAAGATGAGCAGAATTAATACAGTTTTCCTAAAATGGTTCATGAATCTGTGCAAGCCCCACCAGAAAAAACAACCACAACTTCAAAACAAAAATGAAACTCCACAGTAATAGGTGATAATATCTGTGTTCTGAGACACCAGCCTGAGACATCAATGCAAGAAAGAACCTACAAGAAAATAAAGTAGTTTATCTAAAGAAAACCTAGTCTGGAAGAGAAGATAAGCGCAATAAGGGATTTATTTTATACTTATTGCTGAATGAACAGAAAATATAAAAGTGATAAATAACTCAAAAAAAAGAGAACACATAAACCACAATAGCAACCCATAGAGCCACTACAAAAAAACCCCTCACAACCAAGAGATAAAAAAACAGCCAACAAAACAAAACCCCAAAACCACAAGCCACACTCATGAAGGGAACCTGAACCTCTGCTAGAGTCATGCCCTCAATGTCTTTAAGCTAACAACAAATGTTAATCAACTTAGCTTGAAACTTGTAACAGTCACAGCGAGCCAGTATCTTACTGTCTAGCTGTTTCTTCCAGAATACCAAATCTTGGCTTTGAATTCAAAGCCAGAAAGACAATAGGTTTCCACCATTAAAAAAAAATTACTATCGCACAAGTAGTAATTAGCCATTTACTCAGTATTTAGGCTTTTCCTTGGGAGTCCAATAGTTTAATTGTTCCCTTAATCACAACTTTGGAGCAAATTAACATGGGATCTCCAAATTCTATGAAAAAACATAAGACACTACTCATCCAAAAGATAAAACTTCAAGCCTTGTACTGCGTGTTTGATTTCTCCTCATTTAAAACACACAGCAAAAATGAGGCATAAACCAAGATTTTTAAGGAAAACAAAACAAAAAACCCAGAAAAATTGTGAAGATTCATATTAGCATCAACAGCAGTACCTAAAGAAATGAGTAGAAGTTCTCAGCCCACCCACCCCCTGGCCAACATAAAAACAAAAGATACAAGAGAGCCAAACGGAGATTGAAGAACTTTGATAAAAAGCAAATGCATAGGATTTAATATTCAAAGACTGAAAAAAGTGACTTATTAAAAATCTTTCCCTTGGATAGAAATGAAAAATGTTTCATGTTAAAATCTGATGGAAGTTTTGTTCTCTGAAGTCAGCTCTACTAGATGTATAGAAGGTGTGACACTAGAGAAATTGTGCTTAATGATGGGGTTTCGTTTTATTTGTGGATTTTTTTTAACGCTTTGCATGGAAAACTAGGGAAAGAAGGGACTTGCAATTTTCAGCGGGAAACTGGTTGTTCCTTCAGAAAAGAAGCTCCACAAATTTTCAAGATCTAAGAACTCATTATTTAATGCAATGGTTTTCTGAGTTATCACATTACCTCAACTTTTTAAGACAAATTTATCAGATAAGTTGGGCCACAGGTGGTAAAACTCTACCTATACTGTTACTGGTGTAGCTCTTCTCATCAATTGAGAGTCCCATCTAACTGAATAAGTATTATTCCCTCACAGGGAAATTCCCAGAGATAAGCTAACAATGACCATCTTAGCTTGAAACTCTAGGAATGGACAAGAAAAGTCAAAGACCTATATAGATATGTGCACCAGCAAATAATATAGCATTACTCTAAGTTTGTCTGGATGAAGTAATTACCAATTATGAATTATGAGCTATATAGAAATTGCATAGAAACTCTTTTTCCACAAAAAGACATCAAGTCCCAGCATTGGACTAGCAGCATTTTCTTTTCTCACTTCCAGTCCTTCTTTGTTAATTCAACCTGGAAGATATTACAAACATATCTTCCCACTAGAAAGGGAAAAAGTGACTATATGAACTCTTGACACAACATGCTATAAAACATAGGAGGCAGCAGGCAGAATAAATTAACATGATCATTACTACCGTATTTTCTTCTTCTTTACGTGGAGAATAGAAAAAAACAGCAGTGCAGAAAACCTCAGTGAAAAAGATTTATTAATGCAAACAAAAGTAAAACCAAATTATTTTAGCTACAGAAATTTAAAAAGAGCCCTGTACCTCCCAGTGAAACATTGCCACAGAAAATGAAAAAGTCTTTTTGGTTTGATTTTTTGACAAAATAAATTACTTCTTTTAAGAAAAAGAGAATTCAAAATCATTTCAACAGTAATATTTCAAATATCAGGCCTTCTGAATCCATGGATATGTCCAATAAAAGTCCAACTGAAAGGTAGAATTTATACTCTTCTCCCAGTCTGGAACCTCTTCACATTTAGGATGAAGCAGCTGTCATTTTTTCTATAATATTATATCAAAACTATATTTTAAGAAACGACAGAAAAAAAAAAGTGATAATAGAACAGAACTCACCACAACTCCAAACTGCTCTGGTTCAGACAAATTGTTATACTCGCTCTTGAACTTGGACAATGCATTCAATTGTTCTTGTTCAGGAAGGTGTTTTATTAAATTCTATAAAGAAAAATAAAATAGGCTTAAAAATCTCAGATTCTATGTTGCTTGTATTATTGTAAGCAAACGGTATTACATATGCATCATTAGCATACACTCTAAAGACACCACTCTCCCCTGAAGGCAGTAAAATGTAAATAGGCAACACACAAAATTAACTGAGAGTGTGAAAAGCAAGTGATGCAATACTGTGAGTTAACACCTTTCGTTAATTCTACAGATGTTTCTGTAGTTTTTTTTTAAACACTGCTTTTAAAGAAAGAATGTGCTTAATATGCACTATGAAACAAAACACTATGAAGCAAACAGAACAAGAATTTCAAGAGTAACATGTCCATCTAAAGGAAAGCAAGAAATATTAATGCTAGACAAAAAGTATTTTCAAAAAGGATAATTAATTTTCTAGTGTTTCAAAATGAAAGCTTAAACCCATTACACTTGCTTTCTTACATTACTAGCCTGAAATCTTCAGTCGAAGTGAGAATTCAGAGCTGAATTCGTAAGTCCATATGGAGAAGCTGGATGCTTAGATAAGTGCCTGCCTTGTGAACACAGGTAAGGGAATCTAAACATTTCACATTCATCTGTTCATCTGAAGAATCTTGTGACTCCTTGGTGCTTCCTGAACACTTAGACATGTATATCTACATAGAGGTACTTACAATCAGGCAACTGACCCCCACACTACTTAGAACCTGCTAGGTTTATTAAAAACAGCTTTTCTGAGATTCTAGAAGTAGAGAACTTCTCAAACATTTTATTATGGTACATAATTTAAGTCAGTAGCTCAGTTCTGTCCCTTCCCAATACAACGACTATAACTACTAGGCAATTGTCAGTCCCCCTACCCTGCTGTCTTTCTCAGCTTATGACTCTTGTGTTCCTGGTTATACATTGGCTCAGTTCCATCACAGTGAGAAAAACATGAGGAAGATTGTTCTTTCTTAAAACACTCCCTCACCTACTAGAAAGATCACTCTTCTGAATGAATGTTTAATCCTTTTAACACTGAAGCCAGACAAGCAAACAGCCATCCCCTAGCTACTACTGCATTTCAAGAAAGAATCAGAAAGACTGATTCCAGCACTCCGTTATCTGACTGAAAAGGTAGATATTTGGTTGTCAAAATCTCTTTTTTTACTCTTCAAGTAAATAGCTTTGGTGATATACAAAGAAGCCAAAAGAATTTATTTAAGTTGGGAAACAGGATTTCCATCTGAAAGTCTTTTAAAGAAATCCCTAATTTTATCCATTAAAGATCCCAGTATCATATAAAATATAAAAATTACCTCTCTGTGGCCAGAGAGATAAAAAGCCATAGTTATACTTTGCTTAACATACTTCCCTAGTTTAAGAAGAAAGAATTTCACTCTTTAAGTAATAGTCAAATAATAGCCCTAAATCAGTAGACTGCTTCAACAGAGTGTCCATGCTCAAATAGGGGTTTTGCTAAGAAAAAGGAAAACTATTAAAAATGCATAAATGATGATGTTTGAAACAATAATGTAAACTTAAATTTTATGAGCTTGATTTGGACATGGTCAAACTGATTTTCAGCATGACAGCAGTCATATATATCCTTACCATTATAACGTTTTGGAAAACCTTTTTGCAAAAAAGACAACATCTATTAATTATGGATGAAGGTGTCCAGCACTAAATATGTAATATTAAGCAAAAATGAAAGGGTACAGAGTGTAAGAAGATACATTTTAAATTAGAAATTCATAACACTTTTCTTTTTTTGTATACAACATCCATACATTATATACATATGTATAGTTATATACTACAATTCCCTAATCTCTACTGAGATTACAGTGGTGTTGTTTGATGCTGAAATAGTTTTCACATGTAGAAAAACCAACCACAAAACTTTCAAAAACCAGAAACACTCAAGCCTTGTATGGATATTTTCAATATTGAGCATCAGAAAACAAAAAAAAAAGCAACCAAAACTGAAGGAGTAGCTGATATCAAAGCAGCTTTATGGTATTCAGATAAAGCTTTTGAACAGCTACGGACAAAACACATTTTGAATATCAGAGAATAAGCAGGAAAAAGAATTTAGATTAAGTCACAGAAACATTCCAATAATTAGTCAATGAGTTTTTGGATTACAACATGACTTTCAGAGTTTTTACATCTTTCAGCAACAGATTTAATTTCTAATGAACTGGGGGCAACAGGAGAGGGTAGAAAGAGACTAAGAGAAAATACACTTTATTTCTTAAACATAACAGGAGTTGGGTTAAGGACAAATTTCCAACTTTAGAAAAGCAATATTAGGACACACTGAACAATATTCAAAGCTAGACAAAAAAAATTGATGAAGGCAAGAACTTTCAAGAAAGTCTAAGGTATCTTATATAAATGAGGAAAAATAGCCATATGCTTGCAAACCTATATATGCTTTCACTCTTCTCAGAATCACAAAATACACAGGACCACATTTTTATAGCATGGCCATAACACATAATTGAGAAGGTTTTAAAATATCTTTTTAAAGATAGAAATAGAGACATACAGCTGGATACTTATATTTATTTAGTAACCTAAGGATATATGAAGGTGGTTACCAAATTTTTGAAGCAACAAGGGACATTATTCTGCCACTTTCAGATGGCTGTCTTAAGTAGTTTTTCAAGGTTAAACTCAGATAGTCCCTTTTTCAAAGTTATAGTGTTGTTTTACCCAGAAACAAGCAACTTGGATGAAACCATTTGATAAAAATTATTGCAGCCAAACTCGTAAATTAAATTTGGAGCCTAAGTTATACGGAGTTTTCCATCTGACTTAGGCCTTCAAGTGTTTAATCATTTGGTAAAAAAATGCAACCTATATTCTTGAGTCAGTTATATGACTGTGTTCATACAGGACATTGTGAGCATTATCACTTGTATCCCACTACAATGACTTTCACACAATCACAGCAGCTGCTTCTCTTACCCTTTACTTAAATAAAATTGTTCCCTCCTCTCCAAAAGCAAACACAAAAAGATTCAAACACTGTCAAAACCACTTTGGACTCAATTTTGACACCACGAGAGGTTATGGGATACACTGACTTTCAACATGCTTTACTGGTAATACCAATTAATAGAGCCACAGGATAATCAGCATAGTGTCAAAAGTACCTCCTATTGTTAAGCATGCCTACCACACAGCTATTACAGTGGGGTTAGGCTGTCTTAGATGCTTTAAATATACAGAAAATTAAGACATTCTTTATACCAAGGTATGTACAATTATAATGAAAATAATAGTCCACAGAAGAATTTAAAATTAAAAATATAAAATAAAAAAATTCTCAATGAAAACAAAGTTTCTCTTCTTGGCTTATTGCAATTTCACATTGAAGTATGCCATTAATTAATTACCCATTAATGGTTTGATGAGGTTTCTTCCCAGAGTCTAGATGCAAAAGTATGTTTTGCCTTCTTTAAATATTATATATTGCAATTATCCAGATGACAGTTTTTCATAATTCTGATATATAATATTTATTTATTAAAAACTGCTTGCTTCATTGTTATTGAGTACCTAATTTTGCTAACAAGTTAAATTTAAACCATTGAAAAATAGTGCTAAGATCAAATAGGACGAGAGAGTCTCAGAGCAAGCATGTACTACCCGAGACAATGCCCAAGCTGAACATAACAGCATAGCATATTCTACATCTCAGCTCTTCATGCTACCATAGAGAATTTCTTCTATTACAGCAAATAAAATAAAGTATATTGCAGCATACAAGAGTCCTGCACAAAAGACAGATAATATTTCTAAAGACAGTTCTTACCAAATTTAATGGATACCCATCAGAATGACTTGGGAATATGGCAAGGACAGGTTGAGAGAAGCTGGTTGTAGAACTCTAAGAAAGCAAGAGTCATGGGAACTTACTGTGTTCAGATACCCGACTGGAGGGTACAAAGAAGATGCAATTAAGTTCGTCATGTTGAGCAATACAAGACCAAGGTCACAAGTTACAACAATAAAAATTCCACTTAAATAAACAAAGAATGTTTTTTTACCACAAGTGTTGTTCAACACTTTAAAAGGTGCCCAGAAAGTCTATGGAGTCTCCAGCCTTGGAGATATAAAAAATTGAATGGAAAAGGTCCTGCTCTAATTGACCAGACTTTGAGCAGGGCCTTGGCTCAAATGACTTCTAGACATCCCTTCCAAATTATTTTTTCCCATGATTCTATAATGATGCATTTGTATTTATTTTATTAAATTCTTCAGCTTGTCCACCCTTGAATATCACTGTGTATAGAAGAACTTCCATTTTCTTTTGGTCCCATAGAGATTCATACTTTGTGCTTTAAATATATAATATGGAAAGGGAAGACACTATCTAAATAAACTCCATGGAAGAAAAGTGGTCACTGTGAATGCCCTAAGGCAAGATCTTGGACTGTATCAGCTCTAACAAACAAAAAAGGTCAAAAAAACCCAACCAAACAAACCACAAACTTGTGTAGATAAGACAGAAGTAGAAACAAAATAAAGAAAAAATTATTAACTAGGGAAGAAACAAAATCTCATATGTACCCAAGGAAAAATCTCAGTTTAGGTGTGGACAATATGGAAAATAGAGAATATAAATTCAGCTGTGTTGTGTGTGAAAACCTGGATTTGTATCTCACTGGGTCAAATCAACCAACTCTGTGTGGCGGGGCCAGGTTGGAGTCCTCATGGCCAAGACTCCAAGAGAGAAGGCACATGGTCTGTCAGTCAAACAGCCCAGGAGCCCACTCACACCACCCTCCTGGAAAGCCTGATTGTCTGGACCCCCCTCTCTCTTCTCCTCTCTTTCTTTACTCCTTTTTTTACTCCTTTATCTCTTAGTCTCCTTTCTTTCTTTACTCTTTCCTTTATCTCTTCTGGGTAGCCTAAAACCAGTGGGTTGTATTTCATTAAGTTGTGAGTTGATGTTTGCTGGGTACTTCTCTTTGGTTGTATTGCAAGGTACTTCTCCTTGGTTACTGCTGCGAACCTTTTGCCAAAATGCCTATTTTCTCACTAAATTAAAAGAAGTTTATTGGGAAAATGCATGTAGCATATTCTCTTTACACAAACTCAAGGTATTAAAGAACTAAAGACTCTGCAAAAATTCAGTGGGAACTCTTAAGAGTGTTAAATACAAGTAATATTCCCAGTAAAGATTAATGCTTTGGTACTGGGGTATTACATCATGGCTTAATCCCAGACAGCCACCAAGCTCCACACAGCTACTCGCTCACTCTCCCACCTGCAGGATTGAGGAGAGAATCAGAAGGGTAGAAGCTCAAAAACTCATGGGTTGAGATAAGCTTAGTAGGGAAAGCAAAACCTGTGCAAACAAGCAAAGCAAAACAAGGAATTAATTTACAGCTTCCCATGGGCAGGCAGGTGTTCAGCCATCTCCAGGACGGCAGGGCCCATCATGTGCAATGGCAACTTGAGAAGACAAATACCATCACTCCAAATGTTCCCCCTTCCTCCTTCTTTCTCCCACTTTATATACTGAGCATGATGTCATATGGTCTGCAATATCCTTTTTGTCAGTCTGGGTCACCTGTCTTGGTCTCCTTTCAACATCCCATGCACTCCCAACTTCCTTGCCAGCATGGCAGTTTGAAAAGCATAAAAGGCCTTGGCTCTGTGTAAGCACTGCTCACCAATAATGAAAATATCTCTATATTATCAACCCTGTGTTCAGCACAAATCCAAAACACAACCTCATACTAGCCACTGTAAAGAAAACTAACTGTATCTCAGCCAAAAGCAGCACAAGCTGATTTTATAAAAATATTAGAGTTTCAAATACTGAAAAAATCTACAGTTCACAGAAAAAATATTCTTACAGTGATTTATTAGCCAAAAGTTTACGTTAAGAGGTTTTTTAGCTATAGTTTTTTTACTAAGAAGCTTCCCCTGAAATATTGGAATTTTAAATGTGTTGTTCCTTACCTGAATCATGGACTCTGATAGTTGTGTTTCATCTACTTCCAATATCATCATTTTGATTTCCTCATAAGGCACTCGGAAAGATCCAAGGAAAATTGCTAAAATAAAGATTCCACAAATAATGAAAAAACAAGACAACAATCTTGTTTCTACTTAGAAAACACCCGTAAAACAGATTATAGCATCTCCAGGTTAATAAACACTGTGTAAAGTAATATAGGTAAGAGATAATAATTTTTAACATATTTTTAGTTATTGCTCTCCTTCAATTCCAGCATTCTCCATCTGTTTGTTATGCACAACATCTAGCATCACAAAAGACTTCCATAAGCAGTCAGTGACAAGTCTGCTCTGAAGGAGAATCCCTGCTGTTACAACATTTTGTGTTGAGGTGACAATGACATCTTTTTCTTCAACAGTCACATCAGAGCTGTCTCTTCAAGAAGCATTGTGACAAACCAAAACCATATAAACAGAAACCAAAATGCTCCCATAAACACTCCTTGATCATTCACTATAAATCAATAATTTTCTATTTTATCTCTACTGGCATTTAGGAACCTACACTGCAAAGCACTCCTCTCTGCCAAAACTTTATCTTCTTCGTTTGCATATTATTGCATAATACTGACTATTGCCTATATACGATATACTTTATATAATATAAAGTACATGAGATGGCCAAACATCCTGTGGACATTATTGTCCTTTTTTGCCAGGGGGTGGGGAATGCGGGGGAGAACAGGAGGTATTCCTTGATGAATATGTTGAAAATATAGATAGATAATTAGATATACAGCTGTATGTTTGTACTTGCTTGAACAAGGAATAATCTTCAACTGTTTTCTGGGTCTTTTTAAGTGTTTCGGTTGTATCAACTCCCAAGCTTGGGCTTAAAAACGATATGCACATATTCTCACACACTTTAAACAAGAAGTGGTTACCAGGCAATCAGACAAGAGAAAGACATTTATATGGAATATTTATACATTACTTTGTGGGGGGGAAAAAAACCCCTAGAATCTACTTACACAGATTCTGTGCAATCTTTGGGTCCAAAACTTTTAATTCTTTGATTCGTTTCTTAATGGATTTCTTTTCTTCAAAATCATCCTCATCTCTTTTTACTGACAAAGTAAACACAAATACGGTCTCAGTTAATTCTTAATATTTAGCAAAAACACTCATGAATTCAGGAAGCATATTTACTATCAAGCATAGTCAATTCACAATGAAAGAACATATAATAAAACACAGTCAAAAAATAGAGAGGTTTTGCATTTATTGCTTGTATTCTCAAAACTTTTGCTCTTCAGTCAAATCTGGTAGCATGTTAGCCTTCTAGATTTTTTTTTTTAAATATACAACCTGAGTAAAGATGCTAATGCTAATTGTACAAATACACTGGAGTCATATTTAAAATATCATGCAACATGCTTCAGATGCAACATGCTTCAGTCACTGTGGCCAGGTTAGCATTCTGAAATGGATTTTAACAATAGAAAATCTTAAAAAGATACGTCAATATGTCCCAATGCTGAACAATAAATAACCAACCTAAAATCTAACTATTTTTGTGACTGCTTTTGTCTAACTATATGCACCAAAATTATCAAAGACCACTGGCTTATTATAAAAATAACATTACCTTAGAATATAAATGAGCATATTCTTCCAAAAGATATATTTTTAAATATATGATGTAATCACACTTTTCAAAACATCACAAGGTGATTGTATATGTTAACAGTGCTGGAAATTTTGGTTTATTCCTTCTTTTCAGCAAATAATTCATAAAATAGGAGTTCCAGAATGCATTATGTAAGCTAAATTTATTTCTCATTATTTGCACATTGTCATAAAAATTTCACTTAAAATAACAGCATAGGCTTGCTAAGGTATTAGTAGGGACCATTTCAATTATTATGCAAAAACGCTAAAAGACCAAACCCACACAAATCTTTCCTTAAATACAATCTGGTTATACCTTTTTTTTCCCCCTCTCTTCCTTCCTTTTTTTGCCAGCACAAATCTTTAGTGCCAAATATTATTTACTCAATGTATTGCCACTGTTTAATTCTCTATACTATTTCACAAATGAAATTATTTTCCAAGCTTTTACAGTATGATTGTTCCAAATTGTTATTCATGCTTCAAATATTTGAGACTAGAAAATATGCTATAATAATAATATGCTACTGACTTCCGAAGGAGATGGATATAGATGAGAAGTCCTGTCAAGCACATGTAGGATTAAAATTTCTGGCTCACTGATGATTCTTGACAAAACTAGGCGTAAACAGGAAATATGAAGAGGATTTCCCTGAGCTGAAATTAATCACAATAAATTTTGCCTAAGATTGGGACACAGAATAAACGACCTCGAGGTCTCTGAGTTTTGTTGTCTAGGATACAACCAAAGAGGACCTTAAGGACCTAAACACCTCACATAGGGATTGAAGGAACCAGATTCAAGTCCCTTCTGAATTGATGGAGATACAAATTTGAATCATCTCACTTTTAGTACTCTGCACCTGTTAGGCAGCATGATGCTTTTGTGGACATGCCACACCGCAGAAAAGAACCTGGTATTCTGAAAAAATGAAATCACTGAGCTAAGACATAAAGCAGTTGTTGGAAGAAGGACTGATAACCAGGGTCCTGACAAATGGTTATAAAGCTACATAACCTCATCTTTTGTCTGTCTTAGCACTCTACCCACACAACCCAGTTGGCCTTGAATTCCTTTTAGCACAGATTTAACAGAATAGTTAGCATTCCCCTGTACCATTAAAACTACACACACCGCTTACTACATATGAAAAAGCAAAAGTAGGTTTAAACTACCAACGTGAGAACTCAATATCCCAGGTTCTAAATGAATAGAATTACATTTGAACTACTGGATGAAGAGAAGGTTACCAGCAAAGGTCCACTTTTCCTGGTTATGCTCTAAGAAGAGTCAGAAGGGCGTATCTAGGGGCTACAGATCTCAGAATCATGTGACTGTTTTCTCCTGCAGTTACACACTAGCAGACCACTCAAATTTCTTAACAACTGTCAAAGCATGATTTTGAGTTGCCTGTCTTGCTAGAATTGCAGATTCCCCTAAAAGACCTGGACATCTCTGGAGTAGAGGTTCCATGCCATCTTCATGCCTTATGTAATGAAAATATAGTAATGCTTTATGACTATCTTGGAACTTTGCAAATCATTATTTTACAAGAAACAAAATAATTTTCTTTTCAGTCACAATAAACAGAAGTGACATTATACGAATTTATTAATTTCCTTAAACTTGCACTGGTAGCCTTGAACTGGATGCTAATAGGGGTAGAAACAGAAAAAAAATATGTTTGCTTTTTCCAGCATTAGAAAGAAATACTTATTCATTACAAGTCTTGTAACAGAGATAATACCCAGATAGGCAAACGTTAAAAAAAGAAAAAATCAACAGTTTAACAGGTATTATTTAACTCCCTACTTTCAAATCAAGAAACAATGATGCAAATGAACTGGCTAATTCTCTCAGGAATTTTCACCCAAGAGGGTATTATGCACAGTGTTATAGCACTACTTAAGGCATCGCAAGAGTAAGGAAAAATGTGTAAGCATAAAACATATCTACTCTAGGAAACTCATGCAGGAATTGTATGCAGAGTTCTACAACTATGGAGCAAACTAAAGTACTGCAAACTTACGTGATAGTTGTTCAGGAGACTTGAGGTCACATCCTTATGCAGGTGGCAGCAATAAGAAGCAGAGGATACATATTACTTGTATTCCTTGTTTGAAACGTTGCACTTTCCAGTGAAAACTCTGATACCTCCTACTGCCTCTGGAAGTTTTTACCTCACTTGCTAATGTCCTGGATAGCATTAACTGTCCAAGGATAGCATTAATTTTTCACAGTAGCCATGGCTGGGCTGGGGGAATCCTGGAGCCATGTGAGCCTGGTAAAGACATTCTGCTATTCAATACCATCTTATGTCAAGGTCGGGGAGCAGAGAAAAGGTACTCTCCCTTGCTACCCAGAAGAAGCAGGGAGTCTTCCCTTACTGGGGGAACAACTGGCAAAGGGAGCAGGGGGGTAAGGCAGGTACTGACTGGACGGTCTGTCCCCCATTATTTTGCATTGTCTCAGGCTTGGGGGAAAAACATGGGTGTAGGACAGTCTGTCTGACATGTTGTTCACTGTCCCAGTAGGTAAGCAATTTTTGCTTGCAAATCACCCTCTTTTTGTATACTTTTGTTATTTATATCGTTGCTGTTCCTATTTTTTTCTTATCTCATTGCTGTTTCCAGTAAATCGTTTTTATCTCAACCTGTGATCTCTGCATTTTGTACCTCCCACAAGAGGGGGAGGAGAGGGTTGACTAAATTAGAGAGTGATACTCATAAACCACAACAACTAATTAACTTACAAAATAGCAAAAAAAAAAAAAAAGGCTCCAGAAGCCTCAGAGACATAACTGTTATCTATTTCCAACAAGAAAAAAGGGAAAAATTGCACCACAGCAGGGGAATTAGTAGAAATATCTGAACAGGTGAAGTAAGTATCCAGACTAAAAGGCAACCAAAGAAAACAAGCAGTTAGATTTTCATTTGTGGAGGGTACCAGAACAGAAAGCAAAGCATACGGAAGATAGAAAATGGGAACATCTGCTTATAGTGGAAAAAGAGAAGGCTGCCACTGGGAGCGGGCAGCTCCTGCAGAAAGGAGGTGACTATTGAGGGAAATAGATGCAAGATGTTATCACGCTAAGAGAAGAATCCAACCAAGGAATCTCAAAATACAGACAGTCATGACTCCAGGATTTAGATCCGTATATTAAACCATTAGCTTTTTTAAAATTACATGTCTTATTTCAGGTATAATACAACTAAAAAGGAATGTTATGCGTCAAGAACTGCATGCCCTTTGAAGTTCTGTCTATATGCTACATCTATCACACTGAAGAGTATACACATGGCCCCAGCATCTGAACTGGACCATATTTTGTCAGTAGTACCACACCTTATGCTTCAACTGCTCTGCCCTCTCAGGCTGGGACACAAAGTGATAGAGCACTTTGAAACAGAATTCACCTTCTACCCTTAGCAGTTCCTCTTACCTACATATCCACAACCTTATTAACGTGACTCTAAAATTAATAATGTGGTTGCCAGCATACAGATGGACAAACACCTCAGAGTTTTAGATATTAGGCAGATTGCTTTTACAGTCTCCTTCAAATATCCATATATGCATTCAAAATGTATTCAACTACCTCTATCTGATGGAGGCAATGACCTGACTGAAATTAGAGTCCTGAAAAGAGTGATGACAGGACTGTTTTACAAATATCATAGTTGGAAGCCTACAGAATAGCACTTCATAAAAATGTGGACTGGATCCTATGGAACTACTCTGTAGAACTCTGAAACAATTACATTTTTGGTAGGTGCCACTGAAATAATCTACATTCATGAATTGCTATGCACATTTCCATTTCTGCCACAGGTCTTGATATAATCTGCTATCCACAATCTTTCTGTAAGAAAAATCATGCCTCTGCATCTGTATGCTAAATAAAAAAAAAATCTTCTAAAATACATCATCCTACTGAAAAAAAACCCCAATAAAATACCCTTGAAATATAGGCTTCAAAAGGAATGTACAGATATGAACATTTATTTTAGAAAGTCTGAGTTTCTATTCCAGATGAAACTTGAAAACTAAATTACACAGAACACTCAGTGGAGTTATTTTGTCACTAAGTAACAGAGTGTACAGAAAACCATACGACCTTGCACCTTTCCTAGCCCCTTAGCTAAGACAACAGTCATCTTACATTCTGTCTTCACTGAAAAAGGAAAGAACAAGCTTGGGGTCATGGGCTCAAAGGATGTACCCATACAACCCCATTATGAAAGTAGATGCCTACTTCATCTGTTTAGAAGTCTAATTCATAGAAGTAAATGACAGCTTATGTCCCATACAGTAGGATATTGAACTGAAAGACCTGTAGTCTTTATCTCCAAAAAGTTACCTGGAATCAAAGGAATGGATCCTTAATAAAAAATGAGGCCGTAGCTAAATAACAATTCCTGTAGAATTTCTTAGTTATTCAAAGCAACAATGTGG